GCAGACAGATCAAAAGCTAAATCCAATTTAACCTACCTCAGGCAGAAAAAGTAATTGAATTAAACTTCCTCTAAATATGATAAGTTTGGGGCTCTTAAAGCCAGGCACAAAGAGCCAGGTTAGAGTGGGCTGCTAAGTAAATGGATGCATTGAGCTCCAGCCACCCCGCCCACAGGGAGTTTGATAAGCTGTTGATTGCCTCTATCACTTTACTACCCAGGCTGAAAACTGATTAAGCTTCTTATGGGGATCTAGGGCTAATGGCCTGGCCTACCAAGAACACCACTGCCACTGATTTAAGCTTGGCACGTATGGCTTGATTATTACAAGGGGAAGAAAAGAAAAAGACAGCAGGATATAGGAAAGCTTTAAAAAGCAGCTTTATTATTCCAAATGGATACATTACTTTGACATCCTAAAATGAATATGGAATTACTCTGACTATTCCTCTTCATCTATATCAAAACTTGCTTTTGAACAGCGTCCTCAAAGAATATTCACTCTGGAGCCCACATGTTCTACTTTAAACCACCTTTACAAGAAGTTTCCTGCCTTTCAGCACCAAGCAACAGCTCCTGGGTATTCAGACACTGAGACAGACTGAAGAAAACAAACAAATGTATAATGGGTATTCGAACTGATTTTTCCCCTGAGCACCATAGGATAACTGTAATTAAAAATATATCTCTTTCTGCCCCAGTCAACAGATAACCGCTGTTGACTATGAGGTAAAGAGCAGGCAGGACTGAGGAGCAGGAGGAGCTGGCACTGCAAGTAGGCCTAAACTGGACGCACAAATAGAAATTAAGCCCTGGTCTTTTCTCAGTCCTCTCCAACTAACTGCTCTAAAATTATTTCTGTCATTTAAAATAATTTTCCTACCTCCTGAGCGACAAAGAACACAAAAGTCTTAATTTTAAAATGAAAAAAAAAGGATGTACATACAAGAAACCTTGAAAGGTAAAGTCTGAAAAATGACTGAAGGACGTGAACTCGGCTTTTAAATTGACCCCATTACTCTGGTAAAAACAATGAAGAAGGAAGACAACAACAAAAGAACAGGCAGGTGCTTATGCCGCTGAGCTATCTCCCCGGCCCAGCAACAAAAGAACAGAATCTCAGCATTTGAGATGTTTTCTGAAAGTTGTCACAATTATTTATTTTTTAAAATGGCTCTTGGAAAAATCAGTAGATATACAGAAAGGAAAGCAATGTTTTAATTTAATGTCTAACAGTTTCTTAAGGAGTTGTTGATTTACATGATTAACCACAGCTTGACATATTCAGATCTTAAGACTGAACACAGGAAACCTCAGCTTCTTCTGACTATTAACCTGGTCAATCATTAGAAGTACATGTACTAATAAAAGTAAGCAAAGATGATTGGACTCCTATGTGCTCTGTAATATTTTATTTTATTTTATTTTATTTTTTGGTCTTTTTGAGACAGGGTCTTGCTATGCAGTTCAGGCTGGCCTTGAGCTCACTTTGTAGCCCAGGCTGGCCTTGAACTCACAACAATCCTCCTTCCTCAGCCTCCTGAATACTAGTGTTATATTTTATTAAAATGTAAAAGCTATTCAACTATTTGGCTTGTGCACAAGTCAAAGGATTTAATTCATTCAATGACTTTCACAATTTTCTTTAAATAATTTTTAATGAAATATAATTCACGTTCTGTGAAATTTATATTTTTTTCATTTTGCCAAGTAATCTTTTATTTTTTATTACACACATCAGTAGTTTACAGAAAAAAATAAAGAACCCCTTAATGGTAAAATGTAATTAATTACGTCTTCTGATTTTTCCAATGCTGAAACCTAAACTTTACAATTATAACAGTAAACATCATTTATATTCTAATTAACATTTTGATTCTAAATAGTATTGCATATAATTTTACATATAATGACATTTAAAGGCTATATAACAGTTTACCATACCAACAGCATCACACTAAGATTTATCCATGTCTCAAATGATGTGCAAGTAGCTTCTTTAAATATTTTCCTGGGTATATGGTACTCAAAGCAACTTAGTAAGTCAAAAAATCAGGAATAGAGCTTGTTAGTCCCCTAGTTGATTTTTGTTTTATTTTAATGACTACTAACATATAATACTTTTGGTATGAAGACACATGTACACTTAAAAATTTTTGCTCAATAGCATGAACTAGGTCAAAGTTGTTTCTATTTTCACTTTTAGTATAAGTTCACTTGAATATTATTATTCTATGAACTTCTATTTGTACCGTGTCATTTATATTCTTTAAAAATCTGTCCACTGGGGGCTGGGGATTTAGCTCAGCGGCACAGCACCTGCCTAACAAGCGCGAGGTCGTGAGTTCAGTTCCCAGTACCAGAAAAAAAAAAAAAAATCTGTCCACTAAGAAGTAAAGATTTCCATCCACTTAAAAAAAAAACAAAAAACAAAAAACACTTGTGAATCCAAACAGCTTTTTTGTTTACCTTTCCTTTAGCATACATTTTTCATTGTTTTAAACTATCTTGTCAATGCTTTTCATTGCTGTGAAATCTTTGCACTATTATTGGGATGAAAATATTCTTTTTATTTTTCTTTTATATGTAACATTTTCACTCATCTGAAATAAGATGCATTATCATAAGAAAAGTGAACCTAGTATCTCCAGATTGATCCAGCTGGTCCTTCTATTAACTTTTATTAAATACTTCTTTCCAAATGCTTTACAATCTTAAACATTCTATTCAGCACCACAGAATATATAGAAAGATTGCTTAACAGAATAAAGATTTGAAAGGTAAAACTCCCATTTTTTAAAAACTAAATTTAAAAAAAAACTTACATCTCCAACACTGTCAAACTGTATAAAGCATTCAGTTGGAATTTTAATATTATAATAAATCTATGTCATATATTAGCATTCATCTAGATGTAGTTTTATACACACTAACTAATCCCCACAATAATTCTGTTAAATATTATTTCTGTGTTATAGATGGAGAAATGTAAACTAATGGAATCTTCCCAAGATTAAATAACAGATAAGAAGTGATGCAAGCACTCCCCATTTACTAGTTTTCCAGTATACCAGGATGTCTCTTATGGGAGTATTCTCATATTTTGAGTTTAGCTCTTTCAGCCTACTTCTATTTAAGTATCTTTTTTCAATTATCCCAATATAGTTGTGTAACTTTCTTTAAATGGCTTATAAATACTCAAATGTTTTTTAAACTGCACTGACCACTGGGCTCTAGAAACAGGATTTTTAGCTTACATATCCTGCAAATTCCTGATTTAAGTCTTTTACTGTTAATATATTTATATATGTTTGGCTAGTGATAAAGCCATGTAAACAGAAATTATTTATGCTGCTTTCTTTCCCTGTGCCATTCTGTAATTTTTTTTTACTACAATGATGTTTCTTCAACCATACATAAATATGGTGCCAGCACTGCTTAATTTGCTTGATAAATGTTTGTTTTCCCAGTATGACCCTCAGTTCTTAATTTTAAGTAATTACTGGTCACATTATGAGAAGCTTATGAAATCATTAGCACGAATAATTAAACAAAAGAGGAATGGTAATTTTTAAAAAGTTAATGTAGTTAATACTTTGAATTTTTACCATTTTATTCTATTGATGTTGATGTAATGATTATTCTACTGAACACTTACAATTCTGAGTCATAGGAAATAACTTATTTGGTGCTGTACTGTTTGCCAAAATTTCACTTTGCACTTTGTTCAGAATAAAAACCATTTTATGTTTCGGTTTTTGTATTGAAGTTATATTTGCCCCCAAATACAATTAGCATATCATCTTTCATGATATCTAGATATTTACTCTTAAACATCTGAAAAAGCTAACCAATAAGCCCATTGAAGATAAATTCTAACATGTCAGAACCCATCAATTCTTAAACGTTTACTGGTTACAACTCGTCTCATTTCCAACTTGTTATTTTGCATTGGTTTAAGGAAATAATATATTCATTTTCTGGTTTTTAAAACAATCTTTATTTTGGCCTAATCTAATACTTTTTTCATATTTCCATTATACCATATTTTACAACTTCTCACTGTTCCTTTTCTCAATTTCTTATAAGTAATCCGTGTTGAAATCTACTCTTAAAGTAAACAATTCATTGAGTTTTTAAATCTATTCACAAAATTGTGCAATCATCTTCACTATCTAATTCCAGAATACTTTCATCAGCCCCCAAAGAAACTCCATATTCGCAGTCACTACTTATTTCTTCATTTTCTCGAGACTGTGGCAACCATTAATTTACCTACTCAGGACATTTCATTTAAATGGAATCATAAAACATATATTATTTTTTATGTGGCTTCTTCTATTTACCTTTTTTTTTAAGACTCACCCACATTGTAGCATGTATCAGCCAGTACTTCCTTTCCCTTTTTAGGCTGAATAATATTGCATGGTATGGCTAACATTTTGCTCAACCTTTCATCAGTTGACAAACACTTGAGGTAGCTTCCACTTTTTACTATTATGAATAATGCTACATTGAACACTATGTACATGGCTTTATGTGGACATATACATATTTTTAATGCTCTTGGGTAGGTACTAAGGAGTTGTGAAGACATGTTTTAATTCTACATTGTTTTGAGGGACTGCCAAATTGTTTTTCTAAAGTGGCTATACCACTTCACATTCCCACCAGCAATATATGAGAGCTCTAGTCTCTGTGCATTCTTACCAATATTTGCTATTGTCCTATAATATCTTTTTACACCAAGCCCCCTCCCTGATTCCGAATAGAAATCCAGTATCAGGAATTGCGATGAAAAATGCACCAGCGATGGCAGAAAGCAGTGCCAAAAGCCTACTCCACAAAGAAACATCCCTAGCACTGGGGATATAGCTCAGTGGCACAAGCACCCGCCTGGCAAGCGCAAGGTCCTGAGTTCGATTCCCAGTACCAAAACAAAACAAAACAAAACAAATGTCCCTAGGAAGAAACTAGAAGTGAAATGGGCTGAGCACTCACCTGCTGCAGGTCGGCGAGGGAGTACAGGTGGATCTGTTGAAGGAGGTATTCTCGGGGGAAGATTCTGAAAACAAGGGCAGACATATAAGTGAGCTGTTGTGCCATGAGATTCTCTTTTTAAAGGTTCAAAATCTCATTCAAAAAATTCCTTTCCTCTGTCCTTTCCCCTTTCTGTATAGTCCTACTCCCTAAACCCTCTGAGAAACCTGTAACAATACTTTTGTCCTGTAGTTTGCTTTCTAACATCAATTTCAGAGTGGAAGTAAAAGTTTGGTGCTTCTTTTGCAATATTAGGGACTAAACCCAGGCCCTCAAACATGCTAGGCAAGCACTCTACCACTGAGCTATCTCCCTAACCCTTTTTAAATTTTATTTTAAGACAGGGTTTTGGCAAGTTGCCCAGGCTTACCTTGAACTTGGCAATCCTCCTGTCTCAGCTTCCTGAGTAGATGGGATAGTAAGTATGTACCAGTGCACCTGGCTGAGCTTTTATTTTTAAGGTGTTGAGGATCACACCTGGGGCCAGCGAGGCAAGTGCTCTACCACTGAGATACACTCCCAGCCCTGGTCTTTCATTTTTAATGGAATCTGAAATGCTACGGTACTGTGGAGTTAGGTCCAGGCCTGCAGACCAAAGAATCAGGCTTCTTGTACCAACTGTCTTCCTAACAAACTGTGTAATGTCAGGCAAGTCCCAGACCCACCTGGTTCCAGCTTCTACACTACAATGAGGGCAACTAAACTCGATATTTCTAAGTGTCTTTCTGGCTATAATACTGCATGCCTAAATTAACTGATATTAGAGTTGAGTAACATTGGCATGGCAACCTATGTGTTTGTCTAGAGGCTTCTATGGCTTTCATTAATAAAGAACAGTGGTGCTAAGCATTACATTAATGAGCCATCTGAAATATACAGTGATGGTAATTTTTCAAATCCAGGTATAATGATTAATCTTGAGTATCAACTTGACTGGCTTGAGAGAGATTTAGGAAATTAGTAAAGCACACTTCTGGATGTGTCTGGGTGGGTCCCAGTAGCTTAACCTTAGGGAATCTACCTGGTCCTTGGCAGCTTCCTCTCTACCTTTTCTGCTTTCTGCTTCCCAGATGCCCTGAGTTAAGCAGCTTTCCTCTGCCTCATGCTTCTGCCATGCTGTTTCTGCCTTGAAGCCAGCTGACCATGGACTGAAACCTCTGAAACTGTGACCCAAATAAACCTCTCCTCCTTTAAGTTGTGGGTGTCAGTTATTTTGTTCCAGCAATGCAAAGGTGATTAATATAGCAGCTACAGATGTAAATAATGGAGAAAATATTCTGAATTGGGGCTCCCCAATAAAGTCTTGTATCTTTGGCTACTGTTAGTTTAGAGGATCTAAACAGAAGATAACAACTGAGCAGGCAAAAACAACCGATTATGAATTAGGTAATAGGTATCAAAGTGTAGACAGTTACATAGCACTACACAAAGTAAACCCAAAACTAAACTCATGTGCATTGGTGGTATAGTAGTGAGCATAACTGCCTTCTAAAACTAAACTCATGGTGCTAGCATTTTCTCTGATTGGCTTTTGTGGTTCTATGCAATTATCTTGTGTGAAATGAAAGAAACTATTAACTTATTCAATTAACATGTATGACTATCGACTAGATGCCAAACGCTGTGCTGCACACTAGGAAAATAATTATGAATAAGACAGTCCAAGTGTGTGCATTCAAGAAGCATAAAGTCAGCTAGGTTTGTGCATGCCTGTAATCCCAGCTATTTGGGAGGCTGAGGTAGGAGGATCACATGCTCAAGCCTAGGTTGGGAAACTCAGTCAGACCCAGTATCAAATTAAAAAAGGATGGGGATATAGCTTAGGACTTCCCTGGTGGGTGGGTCAATCCCGTGTATGGGGGGGGGCATAAAGTCAAATGAAGTAAGGACACATAAACTAATAGTTATAACATGGAAATGGAAAATGGTAAGAGTTACGTATGGGGTACACTTTTTACAATAGTCTGACAAAGCAGATTCCAAACCTGGCTGTCCATTGGAATCACTTGCAGAGTTTTTAAAAAAAATGACAGGGAACATGCATGGATAGAGCCCAGAAATCAGTGTCAAACAAAAAATAAAACAAGTACTCTCCCAGGGATTAGTACATTCAGGGTTTAGAACCACTGGCCTAATATCCAGGTTATTGGGAAATTCATCATTTAGTCATCAGTTAAGTACACAGTCATTGCCAAATCCAAGAGCTTAAATTGTCTATCCTCCATCTATCCAATAATGATTAAATATACACTATATACCAGGTACTATACTGGGCCACAGAAAAGGGGGCATTGGATGAGTTAGTCAAAGTCCTTATCCCATGGAAGAATGGGCTGGTGTATTCTAGTTTGGAGTTCTCCTGGGTAGTAGGACAGACACTGAAAAGATCTTTGGAAAAGCATGGGTTCCCCCACAGAAAAGAAACTAGGCTAAGAAAGTAACAAAAACATTATATTCTGGGAAATGGAATACATTTCCTTAGGCTGGGCTCTCTTTAACTCTGATGCTTCAGAGCTGTACCCCTGGCAGGAGTACAGCACAGTCCCAGAGAGCTGGGTAAAGTAGAAGAAAAATGTGCAGTTCCTCCAGATGGCATTAGCTTCCCAAGAGAAAGGCCCTCTGTTGTGGAAGGTAGACCACTGTTCTTTGAGAGACCAAGAAATATAACCAATCTCCCTTTCAAGAATACACAATATGACAGAGACAATTAAGAGAACTACTTTTTATGATGCTCTTATTATTAAACACTAATAATAAGAGCCCCATTTGGGGTTTGCACTTGCCATACATATTTCACTCAGCCCTCACAATGGCCCTGCATAATAAGTATAACCTCCATTTTATATAAGAGGACCAGGGTTCAGAACTAAGACTAATTTGCCTGTGTCACAAAGCTGGAGTTCAAGGCTAAGATTTTTTGAGTTCAAAGATCTGTGCTTCTTCCAGTTTCTTGAGGGTACAGGAAGAGGAAGGAAGGGTATGGGGTTCAGTTGACTAATTCCAAATTTCCTCTTTATTTGTAAAATGTTCATACTTTCATATCCTTCACCCAGCTTTCTCTAATGCTTACATCTTATATAACAATAGACCATTGATATAAATTCAGAAGTTAATTATTATGTAAACTACAAACTTGATTCATATGTTACCAGTTGTTTGTTCCAGGATCCAATCCAGAATACAAGACAATTTACAGACTGTTGTTATTATACATGCTGTATTTAAGCATATGCAAGGTGACTCGAGACACATGTGTCATAAAAGGAAACCTAGGACAGTCTTTCAGTAGGACTCTGAGGGTGGCAGAGTATGATACTGTAATATGGGGACAGAGGATGATGTTTGGGGATAGTTGAATGGCAAGATTGACCATTTTCTTTCCTTTTCTTTGCAGTTTTGGAGATTGAACCTAGGGCTTCACAGCTTTAAAGTGCTCTACCACCAAGCTATACCTGGAATAATCCTTTTGAAAGGTAACTGCTAAATAATGACATCCTTAAATAAAGTAGAATGAAAAGAATGTGTTAGCTGTGGGGGTATGACTAAAGCATAAATCAGGTGAATAGGCTGGAAAGTCATTTCAAGATGAGCTCTCACTTCTGCCCGTTTGCAGGAACATAAGTGAGCTAGACAGAGTCAGAAGGAAGATGACTGAAATGATGTCCAACAGGGACAAATACTACAGGGTAGCATATCTATAATGCCCTGCCACTCACAATTCTCTCTGCTCTAACATCCTAACATTTCTATGACTGGGACAGCCAGTCAGCTATACAGCACTTAGCGGGCACCTAAAATAAGCCAGGCATTGAGTTAGTTGTTAGAGAAGGACACTTCAATGAACACAATTAATAAACACAAAGAGAATTTCCAGTTTCCCCTTACTAGGTCCTTCTTACTTCCAAACACTGTTCATTTTTCTTCCCACAGCAGCTAACCGACTTTGGTCATGTCATCTCTAATACTCCTTCAACATTACTCATACAGCTAGTTTATTTAATGTTTATAAGTGTGTAAGTACATTTCACATAGGCTTATTTTCCCTCTCCCTTTAGGACAGATTCTAAGCCCTTCCAGAAACATTTTGTCTAATGTTTCCCTTTATCACCCTTCAGTGTCTGATGCTATAATTTACATGAGGTCAGTTATGACAAAGAACTGGAAAATGCAATGTATGCAGAAAAGATAAAGCAACCAAACTTATTGTTGTCCAGAGAACATGTTGTCTCCAAAAGACTTAGTGGTGGTCATTAAAAGCACAGACTTTGAAGGAGATAATGCCAGTCAGCTCCTCTTCTCTCTGGAGGAAGGAAGTTGTGGCACAAAAGTATTGAAGTCAATTGGGAGAATAAATTTTTCAGACAGGGACCCTTGGAGGTATTAAAAATGAATCTATTATACGTTTTTGAAAGTAAATACAAGAAGAAAAATACTTTCTGCAGTTTTCCAGGTAGACCAAGCTCTTCTGTTTAGAGGAGGTAAGAATTTCCTAGGCAGGGCCAGATAAGAGCTTACTGTCCCTTGTTCCTCTTTATCCTAAGTTAGATGGAATTGGCAACACATTCCCTAAATAGCTCTGACAGACCAACTGCAAGGAAGGGCAGGTGAATAAGGACAGAAGAGGCAAGCCCAGAAAGGTGGGCCATGGCAACTATGCATCTGGGGGACACCTAAAGCTCTTCCCTGCTGTGGCTCCAATCGTACAGGATAGGGGCCCTTGGGTAAACGGGGGCCTTGGGTAAAAGCAGGGATGCCCGGGCCACATCTCCTTCACTCTGATGTGTACAAGGGGTTGTGGAACAGTTGAAAGCCCAAGGCCTGCTCAGGTAGAATTAAGCTGCTGAGGCAGATCTGAGCTGGGAAAGACAGGGCTCCTTAGACCAGGTAGGCACTTTGAGGACTGCGGGAGAGCCCTTCATGTCGGAAAGCAAAGCTTGGCATCCTCTTAAAATAATGCCAGCATTATTTTACTATTAATTATTCAGTAAAGAATAGATGATTTTGCATTCTTTGTCAGAAAACACT